ATGTATGGCATAATATACGCCCACCTCATGCTGATTTTAAAGTGACATATCAACCTTCCTCATTCGTGCTTCGCATATGACCGATTGTCTTGTCTTATCGCCGAGATTTTGGCTCATATCCACAAGGGGGATTGGAAAACTTTTATACATCGCTGGCTAAAAAAAGAGAGAAATTAATAAGAACAATAATAATGTTCCTTAAAAAAGGTGAAAAAGTGCAGAAGAAGTCGATAAACCAGAATATAAAACAAATTAGCATAAATTAAGAAGGGGGACAAAGAATTGGATATATCTGGCAGTACCACTAGCAGCGTATGCTTCCGGTTGCCTGAATGAATTTATGTAACGCTGATAGAATAACAATGCGGCCCGCACTCAACTAACTGGCTCCAAATGATAAAAGGGTGGATGTATTAACTGCCAATCCGAGCATACCAATCGGTCTCTCAAGAATTAATTGGCGCAGTGAGGCGAAGCGGCGACATGTGAGAAGAAAGTGATCTATTGTTGCCGGTTCATTGCAAACTGCACATAGGTTAGTTAATGAAAATCCTGATTTGTAGAGATAGAAATTTAACCGAGGAACTCTACAGCGAAAGCTTGTGAGGGTCACCTCACATTGACGGCAAAGGAATTTCGCGGTGTTCTATGTGAATTGCAAGTGCCGAAATTCTTCAGATTGTAGGAGCGATGTTTCATTGATTTTTAAGATTAACAGGCGTTTGAATTGTCCGGCAGTAATAAAAGAAAACTGTGGAGCTACTAGTACCACTGGAAAGTTTAAAGATGCCGAAGCGAGCGAGTCAGCAGTTTCATTTATTGCAATTCCCGCATGCCCGGGGACCCAAGGAAACTGAACTTCTGATAGGCTATACGAGATATACGAGAGACGAAAATATCCTAAGAAGAGGAGACTGCTTTGAGGACGTTAAATGTGTACAAACAGACAAAGCATCCGAAATAATAATAGCTTTTGATTGCTGAGAACTTAGTTATCGAAGAGCCGATCATGTAATAGCCAGAAATTCTGGGAGATAAATTGGCGTGAAGTCAGGCAATCGGAGTGCAAAAAAAACCAATTAAGCTGATGATAAAAAATACCTACTCCAGCTTTCTGAAGATTTTGCGTTGCATCCGTAGAAATTACTACGTAATTAGGAAAATGGCTGGTCTTGAAGGAGGCTCTCCAGAACATGCTTTGGAAGTAACTTGGCGTTTTTTGGAAAAACGTCATCGAAAATTAAGTCAACTGGCATCGAGCATAGCGTTTGAGGAGTCAAATGCTGGAGGGAAACATGAAGATTTCATAACAGGGACGCGATGAAAATAATTTGAGGTCTTTGATAACGACACCACGGGTGCTTAAAGAAAGAAACTGGATATTTGATGAAAACTTTCTGTAAACAGGAGAAGGGCGCATTGTAGAGTTTTGAAAATGTTTGCAGGGTAGGCTGTCTAAATCTTGCATCAAGTGGAATGATTCGAGCTTCCAAATAAAGCATATTCGCAACACACCTAGGTAGCCCGAGACACAGCCGCAGAGCTTGTCTTTCTAGCAAAATAAGAGGTCTTAATTTGTACTCAGCACTTCCGAAAAACAGAACGCAACCAAACTCCAGAATAGGGAGTACATAAAGTTTGTATATCATAAGTATCCCTGCACATTCCTGAATTCATATTGCAAAACCGGCGTAGCAATCCTAAGGCGCTTTCTGCTTTACGGGTGTTTGATTCTATTTGTTGCTGCCAATTTAAATTGTCCACGTAAACAATGCGAAGATATTTTAGTGCCGTTACTTGTGGAATCGGATCATTTCGATAATGCAGTGAAAGAAATACAGGAACGGATAGAGGAATTACACGCAGAGCACATTTGCTAACATTAAGTGAAAAAGACAGCCCACCAAGCCATACCTCAAGCTCACTCAAATACGACTGTAAGATTTGAGACAAAAAAAGCAATATCATCGGCGTATACGTAAAGAGGGACATTTTTATGAACGGGAATGGATGATAATCAGACATTAAATAAAAGAAATGACAGAACTGATCCTTGCGGAACACCTCTTGTTTGCTTATATGAGGCAGAAGTAATTCCCTCGTGGCAAAAAAATAATTGTCTCTCAAAAAAAACTCCTGAACCCAAGATATAATGTACTTGGGCACATCACAGTCCACTAATCTTGACATTAATGCACTGTGTTTCACACTATCGTAGGCTTTAGCAATATCTAGTGTGACTAATGCAAAAAGCTCACCAGATACTTTTGCAAGGCGAATTTGGCTTTCCAAATCAACATGAGCTGACTATATATAGAGCACCCCCGTCTGAATTCTATTTGCTTTGGCGAAAAGATGCCCTGACGAGCGATAAATTCACTGAGCCTGCTATGAAGAATTTTTTCAATGATTTTAACTAAGTTTGAAGTAAGCGAAATTGGCCGAATGTTATCAAGGACATATTCGAGGCTTTGATTTTTTCGCAGCAACGCAACTTTAGCAATTTCCCATGCAATCTATGTGTCCTGTAAGGAGCAGTTAACAATATTCAAAAGGTCGTCGGGATGATAAATAAATATCAATTTAATCCTAGAGTTTGTAGTCTGATCCGGACCAGGAGCCGCTTGATTTGCAGGTGGTATGACATCTGCCAGTTACGTCATAGTGACTTCCCAAAAGTCCGAGGTTGAGCTTTTGAATGTCATAGGTCTCAAGCATGACGAAGCGAAACGCGCTTCAAGTCCTTTCGCGATGCCCTCTCACAAATTGGTCGCCTCTTTAGGAGACAGCACTATACTGAATGGGAAAATGCTGGTAGCTGTGTCGATTTTTTGTTCCGTAGAAACCTGTACAGGGCAGATATTTTATCAGGTTTCGATAAACGCGAATGTAAGTCAGATTTGTGTTTATCTTTAGCTATAGCAACTGTACGCTTAAACAGTACTGCATAGAATTTATAGTCAACCCAATTTTTCGGAGTATGGTTTTGGCGTAAAGAGAGAGAGTGAATTTATTTACAGAAAGGTAGAGAGGTCGGCCTGAGCTATATTTTGCTCTGGCCTGCTACTCTACGCTGGGGAAGGGTGACTGGGGAGTGAAAGAGTGATGAATGAGGATGGTAAGGTAGAGAGATGATATGTTCTTATTAGGCTGGGTAACTCTACAGACGTGCATCCAGTCCAGTGGCTTCTAAGAAAGCGATGACGGCTCATATAACCACATGTGTGCTCCTGGCGTTGTGGCGTAAACATTTCCAAGCAGCTTTATGTCACCTATACGCAAGCGTACAATCTTCATTCCACCAAGCCGAATTTGATGGCGTGCTACCATACTTAACAGAAAACTCTGCTGGCTGAACAGAGTCACTTAGACACGCTACTACTGAAGCAGGTCGTTGCTGTGCGACACGTCCTCTCAATGACGAAAGCACAGAATTTAAAACAGTTTTATAAATTTTTTTAGTTGATGAACCATTGTTTCCAAATACCAGAGGTAAGGTGTGGTAGCATTATTTCATAGGTAATCGGTACATGATCACTACTCGTCCCATTATCAAACGTTTCCCGCGATGAAATTGTAAAGTGGCCACACGAAAAATCAGGTATAATGTTGATGAGCTTATCCCGCGTAGAAAGGTAACTTGTCCAGAGTTATGACAACGAAAATTATTATCCTGCAACCAATTCCACAATTGTTTGCCACAGCCATTTGTTTTAAACCTCCAAGAAGTGTGATGCGAGTTAAAATTCCCTGCCAATAAAATTGAATTTGAAGAAGAATTCTTCATTATACAATCTAGGTGATCTGTGTGTCTTACTGCATTTGGAAAGTACGCATTAATCACTGTAATCTTGTTGGAGTCAGGTAACAAACATTCTATTCCTAACAGTTCACAATCCGGACAAATATGTTCAAAAGTTACAGTAACATGATGATACGTTTTTGAAGATATTAGGGCCAATAATCCACCTCCCCTACCTGGCCGATCCAGTCTAAAAGTTCGAAAATTATTCAGAGTAAATGTTTGGTTTACTGAAAGCCAAGACTCTTGAAGTGAAATTATATTAGGATTTTTTTGCTGTATGAGATAAATAAGATCCCAGACAACACAAACACAACCTCAGGATGTCCTCAGTATGCCTCCGTGAGGACAATATGACGCCCTCAGAATGTCCTCTTATGGTACTAGAAAGGCGCTAATCCTGTCCCCTTGTTCATACACATAACAACCTCAGCACATCCTCAAAACAACAATTCAGGACTTTTTTAGTATCTTTTCAGAACAACGATAGCGTGGCCAGTTCGGTACTGTGGGCAGTGATACTACTTATGATTTACTTTTTTTCATATTTCCATACATCACAAGAAAAACACCTGCGAGGTCTCGAGTATATATACTGTATCAACCAACAGAGAGGTGACAGTGCTGGACTATTAGAGTAAAACAAATAAAGCTTGTTGACTGAAATTTATTTATTTAACAGTAGTTAATCACAACTGACAGCTTTGTCAGGCATTCGAGTACGCGTATAGTCTGAAAAAAAGAAAAGCAGTATCAAGGCAGTCAACACAGCTCAATCAACTACGTTTGTAATCTTCCTTGAAAGTTTGACACAGTGTCCTATCACCACGTGTATCGCGCCCAATGCAGTCACTAGTATTAGAGGCTCCGCTCTGACAGCCTATCAATGCACTCGACACGGGCGTTGACTTCACTTGCCCGAGGTCGGGCCATGTGTCAGATGCAGAAGTCGATCCTTCCACATTGGGACCAGGCTGCTTCGAAGCCCAATTGATCGCGATTGGCTGTTGTTCCAGGCTGCTTCGAACCACACCTCGCCGCGGTCGGCTGGTGACAATGCATCCATGATCAGTCTGAGCGTTGAGCAGCCCAGTGCACCCATCAACACGGCAATTTAGCTACCGTCATCACCCTACGACTTACACTCTCACACATATCTTACTTTTAACCATGCACACAAACAACAAAGGCCACGAACCTTCACTAGTTCACTGCACTTTCTCTGACAAGACCGCCGCTGCCATTTTGACAATCAGTTGGCTTGGAATGGCTTCGTTACTTGACTATCTAGAATGGTGCCGCAAAGTCATTGGTTGCCAGTTGCTAGTTTGTTACTACGCGCTACAGCGACGTATAATGACTAATTTAGGGCTGTGACATTTAAGAACGCACTGTTTCAAATGGACATTTTGCAATACCAGGTTCGATACCTAAGTCAATTGATTACGTGTGTCTCATTAGGCGCGGCACATAATTTGAAAATTTTCTGCAAAAAAACGAGGCGAAAATATACAATAACTTTATGACTGTAAGAAACAAACGTGTGGATAAAGTTTGCACGTATGAAATGCATCTACTTGGTGCGCAAAAGTCTTCAGGAATTATATCTAAGTGCTCAGTGCAATTCTTTTGTCATCCCCAAAAGATCCTTAACAGGACCTTTTCCGGACCAATTGTTGTCCTCGGAAAGCACTCGAAAAGACGTTTCCGGGGCAAACCAGATTGTGTCGTCCTCAGTTAGTACTAAGGTCAATGAGAACTGCGTGAGGACGATTGTACCATATGAGGACGACCTCAGGACATCGAGTGTTGTCTGGGTAGAGCACTGCTTCGTTTATGAATATCAACAAGACTCATGTCACCAAATGACCCACTGGGCCCAACAGGGGTCAGCGACTGAGAGCTGACAAGCGTTTCTGGAAAACATATTGACACCGATTGTTTTGTTCATTGACGAGGTGCCCAGCTTCACCCTGGACAATGTGTGCTGCGAAAGAGGGAATAAGGCTGTTTAACCTGGCGGCGAGCCTCTCGGTCAGACCTTCCGCAAAGGTGTTGAAAAGCCGTTCCATAGTCATCGGCATGGCCTTATCTATCGCTGCCGACACTGCGAAAGCGACAGTTGCTTCAATGGACCCACACTGGCATGACGTAGCAGCAGCGTATCCCACTTCACACTCTTTAATGAAGGATGTTGCCCCAGACCGAGAACAACAGCATTATATGCAGAATTTGTGTTTCGCGTTCTTGAGCAGAGCAGCTATTGTCCGTGGCTGTCTGTGCTCCATCACATAGGCAACACCTGCAGTTGTCTACCTGACAATTTGATGCGGCATGCGCCCCACCACAATTCGCACATCTCAATGAGGACCTGCAAGCATTAGCGCTAATCCGAATCGCCAGCAGTTACGGCATTGCAGTGAGCGAGGTGTCAATGCCTCTACACGGAATAGATAATTCTTCAGCTCAGAGGGGCGTGTGAGTCCGGCAAAGGTAACAATGACGCTTTCAGTAGGGACTCGCGTATCACCTACAGGTCTGGTGCATCTGTGAACAGATATCACGCCAGCCGGAGATACCATCTTTAAGAATGCTTCAGGACTAATGTTAGCTGGAACCACTGTGTAAGAGGGAGATACTTCTTACACCGTGGTCGGAACACCGCGAGCAATGCCCTTCACACAAGCAAGATGAGGGGGGATAAAAGCGTGAACAGCAATGAACGCAAATCTCGTGGCGGCCAGTAAGTCCGTTAAGCATTGAGTATTTGAAGACCTGCATAGTATGCCAGTCTTCCGAAACGCCTCACCTCTGAGATGTCCAGAAAATGCCCGGTTATGTTGCAAAGCTCTTCTTGAAACACCTCTGTTTCACTCAACCGAATGGCTCCACCATCAGTGGGCACAAGCGCGACAGGCAAACTGCTTACGCCGTTCTTGAGGAAACACTCCAGTGGTACCGATTCAGCAGAGCGACTAGCCCACCACGGCGAGTCCTGGCCGGGACCGGAGACCGGCATTGATGGCTCATGAAAAATGAGCAAAAAGACATTCTACCGCAAATAAAGAACCAAAGGTGATAAGTGTAGTCAATCTCCTCTCACAGGACGTGCAATCGAAAGCTCAAGTCCAGCAGCCCGTCACGGCTTCTTCACCAAAGCTTTCAGACCCACTCTTCCACAGTTCCAGCACAGTCATCGTCCAAGAACGGCGGACAAACATTTACATTGTTGTCCCTTAACCCAAGGCTTCATGGTTGGTTGGTTGGAATTGGTTACTCAACACATTCGGGCAACCCACCTAGGGGGATATGCCATGAATGGGACGGTGCTTTGCTTTTTAAATTAATTCACTTCTTTAAAGAGAGGGTCGGATTAACTAGGTAATATAGGTAATAATTTAAAGGTGTGAGAATTATAAACAAACAAACAAAAACCTTGAAAAGAAAGACATAATGAACACACAAAAAAGAAAAAAAATTATACATAAAATAACATAATTTATCTATGTTTTGCATTTCATTCTCATGGCTCGTCCCACTATATGTGGGATATGCAATTTTTTTCTTTCTCTCTTTCGCGTGGTCTTCTCCGTTTTCTGATGTGCCTCGGTGGCTCACAAAACGATATGAGCGTTACAAAACAAACACGGGTGACGGTTCGCTCGTGACATGCATTTAGTACCGTAGATTAGGCTCAACAGAAAACAAAGGGTTTAGCAGTTCAGCATCATCATCATCAGCCACCAAATCAAGCTAGGAAGTAGTGGGCGCCTTGCAACATGGAGAAAGGAAAAACAGTTTTTCCTTCCTCCATGCCTTGCATGAGTACTTGTATTAGTAGCCCAAAGAGGGTTTGCAACGTACGGGTTCTAGAAAGGCGCTCTTCCAGCTTTCGCTGTGACATGTAGATCATGCTTAGTGAATTTCCCGATGTGCCTTTACTGTATCAGGAGGAAACGATTGGTCATTTAATCATCTAGTCGCTGATTGAATACATTCAGGAAAATCATACTAGTACCACCGCGCTTTCAAAAACTGCGCGCCATGAGAACATGTCCCTCTTTCTTTTGGGGCCACTACTCTGGGGCATCCACAGCATGCAATGTTCTATTTGCCGTTCAGGAATATATCAGTGCGACTAAACAAATATCTTGCTAAATTGTGCGTGCATAACATGCGTGTCATGTAACAATTACTTGCTATGCTCATAGTACGCTCGCTATCATTTCACTAGCTTCAAAATCAACTATATATGTGAGGTTTAACGTCCCAAAACCACCATGATTATGAAAGACGCCGTAGTAGAGTGCTCCGGAAATTTCGACCAAGTGGCATTTTATAACGTACTGCACCCAAATCTGAGCACACAGACCTGCAGGATTTTCGCCTCCATCGAAAATGCAGCCGCCGCAGCCGTGATTCGATCCCACGACCTGCGCGTCAGCAGCGGAGTACCTTAAATTTCCACCGAGGCGGGGCAATAATATAGCGCATCTAGGAATGGAACAAATAATGCTAAAGGTATCGGGAAAATTCTCTTTCTACTCGGCCAATCCGCTCCATTGGGTATGCCATGTCCAGAGGAAAACAACGATGACTGTGCTGTGCTTTCCGCACGGGCCGCGAGGTCGACGTGGCGCGAGCTAGCAGCTTCTAGGCGTTCATTTCGACCTAGCCGTCGCCTAGTACCGTTACTGTCCACACAGGCTCCGCCCCATCATGGACGCGTCCAAACTGCCATCCGTGGTGCCACCAGATCTATCTACCAAGACTGTGCTTCTGCATTCAACGGATGTGAAGATGAACCGCTACGAAAATCGGTGGGCTAGTTTTGAGAACTGGCCATTTAGAGGCGACTGCCACTGCACGCCAGAGAGGTTGGCGGCAGCAGGATTATATCATTGCCCTACAGAGCACGAACCGGACTTATTCCGTTGTTACGTCTGTTTTAAGCTAGGAAATGCATAACTGGGATCCAAATGACGATCCCCACACGGAGGACGCTCGTAATGCCAATTGTGCTTTCATACGATTGGCAAAGCAAGAGGACAATTTTACGGTGCTGGACTTCCTCGTCCTCGAGAAAGAGCGAGCCCAGAACCGGGCTCGCAAGGTCCTCGAACTTTTCGAGCAGGAAACCGGACAAGCCATGCGCGAGGTCCATTACGAACTCGACAAGCTGCGCAGGAAGTTGCGATGATGGTCCGTGGCACTTCAATTGTCGGGGGGGGGGGGGGGTGCACTCTCGCCGTGTGTGTTGTGTGTGCATGGTGTTTGTGGCATATTTAAATAAATCTTTTTTGTCGTTGTTGTTTTAATGCTACGGTGTTTGTCGGCCATGAACCGATGAGCACGAGGGCGACAAGCTCGCGTCTCCTATTTTTTGTTTCATATTCGTAGCCATAAAATGAGTAGCGATGCGGCATTACGTACCTTGGAATGACTACAATTTTTGCGAAAAGAAATTCGACGAGGATGCCTTTCCACGAAAATGCAGTCTCCCCCAGATGAGGCTGCGGCGCGGTGGACGGCGGCGCTGCGCAGCTCCAACCCCCCAGGATCAATGGCCATCCAGCAAGCCTGCGAGGGGGCAAGAAGGGGCTCCGGTCCTCCTCGGGTGTAGCCTAGGCCCAGACCACAAATTTGCCGGATTTATTAATAAAGTTTGTCACACCACCATGCCCCCCCCCCCCCCCCCCCAAAAAAAAAAAAGAACTGAAGCAAACTTGGGCCAAATGGAATTTGATGCAGCACTTGCACTGTTCAGGTACTCCATAGATAAAAAGCTAATTGTGCTATACTGTGACTGCCTGTGACGGGGACAACTAAATTTTTCTGGCATTGCATGAATGCATGGTTTTATACTTTAAAAAATATAGACAGCATCAACCATGTCAAAATCAATTATACACCCTTGTCACTAAAAGCAAAGAATGACGAACCCATGGGAAAGAAAGGTGACCTAACACAGCCTAATAACAAAAATTCACAATTTATAATCATCAGGCTTCAACAGGCAATGATGTTGAATATATGCAGAGTACAAATGCAGTAATGCAATGTTCTATCGCATAACTTCAACGGATGACAAGCCGCACCACGACTTTTGTCTACAAGGTCTCAAGAGGTGGTGCAGACACCGGGCTTCGGAAGATAAAACTATAAACCATAGCCACCTCAACAGTACCACCTATAGCACATCACATCACAGCTCCTCTGATGAGTATCAGTGAATTTTGGATCCACAGCTTCTTCA